TTTACCTAACTTGTTTAACTGAATTATTACCAATATTTATACAATTAAAATTTTATATGTATTTATTATACTTAATATTTGTATAATAACAATAATTTTTAAAAATAAAAATAATAAAATACAAAATGTAGAAATAAAAATTAAGGTTTATAAGCCAAACAAATCACACATAATAATAATAACTCATATAAAAAACAAATTCTAAATTAAATGCATAACATATGCAATAATAATATCTCATATAAGACATTTTCTTTACTTAAACCAAATATATAGGTATATACCTGCCAGTCACTCGGTATCTGTTGGGTTAAATATCAAGTATAAGTTTTTAAATATTATAAGTACTTAATCTAAACAATTGTACAAAAATATTTTAAATTAAATACCAAATATAACTCATATTTAATTATACCAAAAAGTGCTCACCCCTAAGCACAATTCTAAAAGGGAAAAATAAAATAATTGATTTAAAAATTAAAAAAAAAAAAAGGAGTAGAGAAATGGTTTCTAGTTGCCTCAAAGACTAATATAAGTTAGTTTAGTTTGCTTGCTATTTCGACTTTTTTTTTTTCTTTATGAGCTATTTAGACAATTTTTAATTTGGAGTTAAAGGCTTTGTTTGAGAGTTTTTACACAGCACGTTTTCGAACAACACAATATCTCAAAATATAAATTTATTATAAATAATTAATTTTAATTAATATTTATATTTTTTATTAAAAAATTTAACTTACAATACAGCTCAATCCAACATAACATAATAGTACTCCTAAACGAGGCAAAGTTACAACTAAATTGGTTTTTAATTAAAAAATTAACCCTAATAAATTCAATTAACCTATAGACATGGTGCAATACTCTCGTGCTTTTTATAATCATTGGGCAGTATAATTGCATCTGATCTGCGTCCGGGGCAGAACCAGACCAGGCAGGGCTATTGGCCCTTGTTTTTTTGAAAAGTTTTTATTTTTTATTTTCTTATGTTTTTCAGATAATAATAGAGAATTATTTTCGCTTTTGATCTTATTTTATTTATATGTGGTATAATTTAAATTTAAATTTTTTTTATTTTTAATAGTAAAAATTATTATTAAATTATTTAAATTATTAATATTTAAAAAATTAAAAGTAGTTTTTAAATTTTGTATTTTACAAAATTTATTAAATTTTATTTATTTATTTATTTTTAATATTTATAAAAATAAATCACTAGTTCTTTAGTAAATTTTGCCATTAAATTCAACGGAAAATATTGATATAATAATTAATAACTCTTTAAAA